ATATATATATATATACACTAGACAAGTGAGTATGTGAAATGGAAAAAATGAGAATTTGGTTTTATAAAGTACAAAAAATTAAATGAATTTAACGTTGATCACATAACAACTGAAATGAGATAACCCATAAAACATATCTCCTCCGTCCCAACTTATTTTATACCTTTTATTTTAGATCACAAGTTTCAAAAGTTTTTCTTTATTTCATAAACTCCATATCCAGTCAAACACCTTCATATAAATTAGGATGAAGGGAGTATAATTTATGTGAGAAAAATAAATGATAAATTAGATTATTAGATATATTTACGTGACTAACTAATGATTAGAGAAATATAATTCAGTAAAAATAACAGAAAACTATTTTGATTATAATAATTAAAGGAAGATATTAAGTTATTAAAACTTAACATGAAAATAAATAAATAAATTTATTAATACTAAGAAATAATTATATAAATAATATACTATATATAGAAAAATAGTAGTTTTGGGGCCCTTAAATTCTTGGGGCCACTTGCTTTAGGGTCTGACCGTGCGCCCAAGAGGACCGGCTATCTTTCTTTCTATATGCAATATCTTGAAAGGTAAAGATCGAAAAACATTTACCTTGACAAACCCTTTGTCCTTGGACAGAAAGTATAATATTGTGCATAACTTGAAGTGGCAAGAGTTAATCCCTTTCTGTTACCTTTTTGGCTAAACCGATGCAACAATCTATTTAACAATAAACAAGCAGTGCGTGATATCCACTATACATAATGTTGTTAGTTGTTACGATGGCAATTGAATGTACTGCCCTAACATGTATGGCCGTGTACCAATAGGATCCTCCAAATTGCTGAACAACTCAAATGGAAACCCTCCTCTTACTAACTTTTGTAAACTGAATAAAAATGAACATTATGCTCATATTGATGATTGCAAGTTAGCCTTAACTAGGCTAGGAAATATAACAATACCATATTTTCAGAGAAATATACATATATTCTATTGTCGGAGAAGAAAACCAAGTAGCTGATGGAAGTAGGGTGAATGAATCTAAGGTTTTTTTTTCTATAATTAATTTTATCTAACTCTGCTTTCTTTGTATCTTTATATTATGAACCATACAAGCCTTATAGGGACTACCCACCCCTGAAAGGTCAAGTAATGTACTAAACCTTGATATTCTGATAATAATATCCCTATTACCTTAAAGAAAAAAAAGATCTATTCACTTCATCCATTTATAATTATTTTGTCCTATACTCAAGTTTCTCAGCATTCCTTTTCCTTTCTTCTCTTTATGGACTTCCCCACGCTCCATGAAGAAAAATAAAAACTAAGAGAAAAACAGACCTCTTAGAGTTTTTACTTCCCCCGTAATATCATTGCAAAGTACGGCCTTGAAGCATCAGTAAAATTGTTTCCGTATAATCTATGGGTCACTGATTCGAGCCATGAATGCAACTAGCCAACTACTAACGTTTGCATCACACCCCTTGGGGTGCAGAAACGGATTCATGATTTGAAGTTTATGGATTCCCGTCGTAACCTCAAATTAATATACAATAATAACTGGATTAACAGTTAGATATTTACAGATATTTAATGGAAGGTCTATGCAAAAGTTATTGGGTTTCCGGGAACCCAATAACTACACTCTAGATTCGCCCATGTTGAGGTGCGACCTTTTTTTCGGACTTTGTATGAACACGAGATGTTAGGACTGCCCTTATGTTTTTACCATTTGTCATTTTCACTTCACATAAAGTTGAACAAGAAGAATTTCAGATCTGCTCACAATGTACTATGGTCAATAGAACAACCATATAGCATTTCAACATGGAGAAGCACATGCCAAATGAAAGTAAGCAAAGGAATATAATTTTCTTGCAAGGAGACGCGAGCTAAAAGCCCAATTCTTTTGAAGTTTCAAGTTCAACTTCTTCCTACTCGTCTATGAATCTTGAAAACTGAAGCTCCAATTTGTCTCCTACTGTAAAGGGAATTTGGCAGCTGTGATACTTGAAATTTTATACTGCTTTAAGTCTCTGTTTTTACAGTTGCATTTCTCGTGGTACCCACTTGTTTGCTATTACACAGTATATATCAAAATGATTAGTATTTTAGTCATGTTCCTACAGTTCCTTTCAACAGTAAATCATACTAAAATTTCGATTTTTGAAATTATTAATTTTCACCATTCAGAACAAAAGGTAGTTTTCGAGTTCAGCAAAATAGTACACTGTTTAGATTCATCTGTTTGTACCCATTAAGACAACTGAAATTCTGCACATTAGAATATACATAGAAGGCTTGCATTATTTAGTTGTAAGACTTGAATTTCATCAAATTCATTTTCTTCTTCTATCTTCCCTGTCCTCACTATTCACGGTCGACCCTACTGCCAATTTCACGGTATATGTCAGCTCTATTTAAACTCATCAAAATTTAATATAATATAAAATAAGATTAGACATACCAGCAAGGACATGTATCAATTACTAAATGCAGAATCTAAGTTGATTAGGACGTTTAATTTTACAAAAAATAATTGGACGTGACTATCATGGCTAAATATGGAAAGTCCAGCGAAGATGAGTATGACAAGTAATACATGGTTATGAAAAATACACATGGATATAATATTTAATACACCAAGAAGTTTGGTGAGAATAAATGCAACACTTGGGATTAGAACATGCCATTTGCCAAACAATCAACACGAATAAGTCTCTTGAATGTACCTGATTACCTCTCTTAATCAAACTTTTGTTTAACAACCAGCCATATTAAGCTCAAAACATGGCCAAATCTCAATAAACAACTTGATTTTGAAAATTAGTACTATTATTTACTTGACCATAGATAACAAAAAATGACAATCCATTTCAGAAGAAAAACATCTTTTTAATAATTACTGTGGTGTCCGAGCCGATTTAGCGCACCTCGGCTAACTCCACGGTGTACCTGCTAGCTCGAAGTAAAACATGTTAAATACGATATGTCTATGTTTTTCACAATAAAATAAGCATATCTTCTGTTGATCAACATCACAATACAAGATCTAGTTCAGCTACTTTTTTTACAATAAGTAAATATCATATTTTCTCTTGACCAACATCACAATATAAGATCTTGTTCAGCTACTTTTCTACACAATATATGTAAATCTAGTACTGCAAGATATGTAACAAATACACTAGGAGGTGGCTTTTCAGAAGGTAAAAAAAGAGCTTATACAGTTCTATTCTTGAAATAAGACAAATTCCAAAATAAGTACATCTGTTAGAACATACGTAACAACTGATACTTTGAGTTTTACTCATTTAGCAATGCAAGATCTTAGCTACTTTACAGCTACTTTGAGTTTTGTGATTATAGAAGACTGAAGAGATAGAAACCAAGAGAATCTCACCACTACGCCCAACCTTTGCGTAAAAATGTAGCCAGAAATGTTGCAAAGCATAAATACAGTCAAGGACAAAATCCTCCAGGAAATGTTTCATTGTTTTGTTTAAAATGCATATTGTGTGATCTTGTAATAGATGTCTGCATTTTAGTGGTTGTTGAATGAGCATGGTATTTGTTTAGATAATCAATAAGGTAAAAGTACAATTTTGAGGACAGAAATTACTGAGCATTCCGAATTAGTTAGTTTTCCACTACAGATTTTCTTTTTTGATGAAGCAACAGAATTTCATAAACAGGCATCAATAAGATGCGTAGCAAAAATATACAACATAAGAGTGTCTGCTCATGTACAAGAACTTGTTAATTCAAATTAATATTTGAATGAATATCAACAAGGAAAAGGTGGATAATACCATGTTTAAAATCTTTTATACTGCATCTTTGTTGTACAGATTTGAGCATATTGCTACATTCGATACTTGCATCAACAATTTCAAGATACTACTGCATCCAGCTCCCTGTCCACATAAATTAGTTACAGGAAGGATGCCAATCAGGAGTATTTCTATTTCATGACCGCGGAAATTTCTGCATTAAGGTGTCCAAAATGTTCATAAAAAGAACAGTTAGAACAACTTTTCACTGAAAGATCCAAATATGAGAGCTCAATATCAATGCAAGTCTGGCGAACACATGGAAATTTAATGTACCTTGCAAAAGCTAGCGACCTCTTCCAGATAGCTGGTTCATTCCACCTGCAGTTTAGGAGCTAAATGGATATTGTAACAGCTTTATAGATTCATCTTCCCAGTGATGAAGTTCCAACAAGGATTTGCGATCTATATGTTTTTTTATGTGGAATTGGAAACAACCTCTCTATTTCCACAAGATAGGGGTAAGGCTACATACACACTACCCTCCTCAGACCCCACTACGTGAGATTATACTGGGTTTGTTTTTGCTGTATATTTTTTATGTGGACGAGTAAAGATAAGCATTTCCATCAATGAGCTTTTGGAATAAGCAAGAAACATATGGAAGCTAATCATTTGTCACTATTCATATACTTTCAACAATTGAAATACACAAGCAAGGATGAACAATTCATTAAAAGTACACTCAATGTGCTTTTGAGCAACATACATGAGTAATCAAGCCGAATTTACTAATGCTCTAGAATAAGAGCCTAAAGAATTCGATAACCCTAAAATATTTTACTTCCATGTGATTTGAAAGCAAGAGAAACTTGCAGGAATAAGGTTGCTCATCAAATCAGAAAGAGATTCTAAATGACTTTCTAAATATTACAACAATGCTCTACAAAGATTTGCATCCAGAGCTGAAACGATTGAACTAACAATCATATCAGCTCCTTAATCCCTATCTGAATGCGCACCAACTGAATTGTTTCTTCTCAAACGGGATGTGCCTCCTCTACCATTGCTGTGAACTAAAGACTCATTGTTTCTTCTACCAACAACTGAACCGCTTACATATCTGCAGCTCAAAGCTCTACTGATAGATTTTGACTTAGGTTCAACCCCATCAGCATCTCCCCTAAATTCAGAGTGCCCATCGTTTCCAGCCATTAAATCCATCAAATTGCTGCGGAACCCCAAGTCAGAGTAAACCCTCTGCGAATTCCTGAGTGGTGTTGCAAGTCTAGCATCTCCACCATCCAAATCTCTTTCTTTTATCCTCAAGTTCAATTGGCTGGTTTTCGACTCAACAGGTCGCCCCACAGTTTCAACCATCAAACAAGGATTGGTAAAACCATTCCAAGAATGTAGGGGTGCCAACTTACTCAACCCGCTCAAACATTCAACAACCTCCTTCATAGTTGGCCGCCTCTCCCTACAAGACCTCACACATTTAGCAGCCACAATTGCCAATTGCTTTCTCACCAAAGGATCCTTGGGAGGTGGAATCCTCGGATCGTATACAGCCAACAACTTCCCTCTCTTAATCAATGGAATCGCCCAATCCACAATGGAAGGCGGCGAATATGCTACATCAATAGCCTTCCTCCCACTAATAATCTCCAACAATAAAATCCCAAAACTGAAAACATCAGTCTTGGTGCTTAAATTATCAGGGGTCACATAACATGGATCGAGATAACCCATTGTACCGGCAGGAGGAGTAGACCTCAACCTAAAATCATCAAGATGACACCTTAATGCTAACCCAAAATCGCCCAAACGAGCATGAAAATTCCTGTCTATCAACACATTAGCAGACTTAATATCGCGATGAATTACAGGAGGGTTCAAAGAATGGAGAATATCAACAGCTTTAGCAGTTTGAAAAGCCAACTTTATCCTTCTACCCCAACTAACTGAACGAGAATTGGAATGAAGAACATCATAAAGTGTACCATTAGACATAAACTCAACAACCAAAAGCCTATCATGAGAATCAGTGCTAACACCAACAAGATTAACCAATCTTGGACTTTGCAATTTGGAAAGAATATCAATTTCATTCTCTACCTCATTACAATTATCTGTGCTGAATCTTGGGGCACCTCTAGAAGACCTCTTGACAGCTACAAGACGCCCATTGCGAAGTATTCCTTTATAGACAAGTCCATGGCTGCCCCTACCAAGAAGCTTTTGGTCAGAGAAACCATTAGTGGCAGCTTCAAGATCCCTGTAGTTAAACTCCTGAATTTTGATGGGTTTCTCCTTTTCTTCATTATGGGGTTGATGGGTTTTCTGAGAATTGGAAATTGATATGGAAGATTCAGCTTTACATGATAGATAACCCATAAAGTTCTGATTTTTATCTGTAAAGTCACAAGCTTTATGTGTGTTTTGCGTAAAAATATTGGCAAATCAAGAACAAAAAGAAAGTTTTTTTATGGGTTTTTGAGTGATGAAAAGTTTTTTGGGGGGGTTTATGGGGATTGCAGATTTTTTGCAGGTTGGTGATAATGGTGAAGAGGGAGGAGAGGTGTAGGAGCCGGGAGGGAAGGGGAGAGGTGTTATTGCGGTTGTAATGGTTAAATGAGTTGTCTCCACTGAAATGGAATCCCAAGAATTGCCATACCTTTATATTTATTTGGATTATGATATAGAGTAATCAGTAGGATAATTAATGGATGATTTATGATACCCATTACCCCAAAATTATCCATATGCCTCATTAAACAAATCTTTCTTCTTTTCATAGTTGTACTTAGGGGTGTTCCAAATTATCCGAAAAATCGAATCAAACCGAAACGGAACTAAATTGATCAAAAAATGATACTTTTTAGTTTTAGTTTGCTTTTGGTTTTGAATTTTAAAAACCGATCAAATTTAATTTGATTTTGGTTTTAATCAAAAAATAACCGAAAAAACTGAACCAAACCGACTATAGAAGTAGTTATTTAAATTTATTATTACACCTATATATATGTATAGTTTTATATAAAGTTTTAAAAATTTTATGGTACATATTAGTCATTTGTATTTTTAGTCTAGTTTTTTGCTATTATAATAATCTAATTCTTTGCTTTTATATTCTAGTTTGATTGGTAGTTTTCTTTTGTTAAGTACAAGAATTTAATTCATGTTAAAAATAATTAATTTTTAATTGAGTAAATTAAATTATTCATCACTATCTGATTCAATTATCATCGATATATCTTGGTAATTAATGATAGATTTCTCAAAGAGCAATTGGTTTGATAGTGTTACGTTGAAAATGTACTCGCCGAAATATGTGTTTGGTAGTGTATGTCTCATATTTAAGGAAAAAACTCCGATAAATAACCGAAAAAACCAAAAACCCGATAAAAACCGAATCGATAAAAAGTCGACTTAATTGGTTTGGTTCCAATATTTGAAGTTCCGACTTACTTGGTTTGGTTTTTTTTAAAGAAAAACCGATCTAAACCGAATCATGAACACTCCTAGTTCTATTAGATTCTTTGGTGATATAATGAATAGGAAATTGATTGCACTCTCAACTTGTTATCAAGTAAGCTAGCATTTAGACATAAAACTTAAAAAGTGAGTTTTTGAAGTTTGAAAGTTGAAATTATGTTTGGACATATAATTTAGTTGAAAAGAATTTGAAATTTTGTGAGTATAAAACTTCAAAAACTATTCTAGAACTGTTTTTGGGATTTGAAGATTTTGTTTTCAAAATCTACCAAAAAATAATTAAAATCTTCAAATAAACAGGTTATTTGAAAAAGAACTCCCAAATTTTATTTTGAAGAGGTTATTATGAGGTTTATATATTTTATTTTATAACTTTTGTTTTCATGATCCCAGTCGATTAAAATTGACACGTCACAATGTATCAAGAGACAGTATAATACGAATAATTAGTTAATTAACGACTACAGCCGTGAAGTAAAGATTACTGCGTGGGGAACCCCTCAAAAAGGGAAAAAATACATGTTTTACTTGGAATCTCTCAAGGAAAAGTAATTTTCCTACACGGATTTATTTAAGGACGATAATTTTGATGACCGTCTTATTAGATTAATATTATCGTCTAATTTGATAGAAAAATATTGCATCTATCAGTTTAATTCTAATAGCTTAATTTTAATTATAAATATCTAATTATCATTGTTGTGAAAGAAAAATGAATTTTAAAACCTCAAATATGAAAAATGAGATGAAAAGCGGTAGGAAAAGTGCGAATTACGTAAACTAGAGGGGACGAGATGAAATCTCAACATTCGTCTTCCAATTGTTTAGGTTGCTTAGGAAAGGGAGAGGAATAATTTTAAGGAAAAGGCAATTTCTTTTTAGCCACTTATTGCTTCAACTAAGTCAGAAATTATAAAAATAATTGATATATATTTCGTTCTATTGATTCATTATCATCACCAAAATTCTGTTTATGAAACTGATATTTGACCATATATTTAATCGATAAAGTCATTCCACTTCTCATCATCGAAAAAGTTTGAAAAGACTACTTGAAAGCTGTGTATCGAACTTCTTTTCTTTCTTTTTTCTTTATCCTCATTTCCTCTTTTTCCCAACATATTGTAAAAACAATGGTAATTTTTTTATGATGGATAAAACTTATGACTTTCAACTTGTACTACTTATTTAAAATACTAATTTAGATGGACGAATAGAAAGGAAAAAATTGAGGTATCGAAATTAATTCCATTATTAGTCGTAATTACAGAGAGGAGGTTATGCACGTGATTTGTAATTTGGTCAACTGTGGGCTACAGTGTGTCTATAAAATATTGGAAATATTTGTACATTTCTTGCCAATCTCATTGCAGAAAGCGTATATTCAAAGGATTTTGAACACTGACTGAAATGCTTTTCCCTTTGAAATTATGGAAAGTATATACATATACTTGCTTAATTAATACTTTATGTCATTCTCCACTTCAACTTGAAATTATGGAAATTGTATACTACTTGATTACCTATTCATCTGTCTATTAGGCTATTTACGCAGTAAAAGAGTTCTGTTAATGAACTCTGACATTAAATTCTTTGCTTTTAAAAAAGTGTTGGTGCATCACATAGAATAATATTCACGGGACAGAGAAAACAATTTTTTTTGTTTTTGTTTCCAATAGTCTATGATTTTTTTAAGTCTATGAATTATTATTATATTACCTAGTGGTTAGTAAATGGTTTCAATTAGCAGCATGTGAGCTTCTTAGTTTCTTATGTGATTATAACTTTCTTCAAAGTATATAGTTGAAAATGGAAAAAATTGAGATATTCTTCTTTTTATAAATCTAGATTGCTGTAATAAATAATTAAACCATTAAATTTTCTGAAATATATAAACAAAACAGAAAGTTAGTAATACTTATTTAACGAAATAAATTCTGGAAAAACAGTATAGGAATAAATCGAGCCCACTGAATACACAGTGTGTTCTTAAGGAAATTATTCCCCTCAAGTACCCGAGGTGCTGAAATATATCCTCCCAGGATAGAACGATTTAACTCACCGGAGTGTTGGTACCAAAAACGCCGGTGAACAGCGAGCCACTCGAAGGCGGTAAAACACACTGGAATTTTTGTGCAGAAGAAGAAGAAGAAGATCAGAAAATTTCGTAAGGAAAGATTATGGGATTCAAAGTATATTTATAGAGTTGCTGGCATTGTTTCTGAAAAGGTTTGCAACCTTTCAGAAACAGTTATGGCTGTTGGAACAGGTTGTTTGAAATATTACAGGAAAACAGATTTAAAATAATCCGGGAAAGAAAACGGGCCTGACCGGACCGGATCGCAGGTCATGAGTTATTCCGGATTGAATTTTTCGTTAATTATTTAATTAAATAATTGAAAGAAATTTTGTCCAAAAAGATTAATCAATCAATCTTTGACCGAAGCCGAAGCCAAGTGACGATAACGACGCGAGGCTTGCCTTCTTCTTAACTCTTTAAGAGATAGAATAAGAGTAATTATATATATACCCATCAAAAGCCTTTTCTTCCTCTAATATGGGATAATGTCCCTTTGCAAAGGAGAGAAACTCAAATATTTTATTTTCTCTCCATTTCTCATCCACCCTCTTTAAGCTACACAAGCTTAAAATCCCAACACTTCTTTCTTCCAAAAACTTAGGTTTTAAACCGTTAAAAGAATATTTGTCTTGCCATTTATATTCAACCATTTCTTATTTCAAATATGAATCCTAAAAGCCATTAAACTAAGTGAGTGTTTGGTATGACTGAAAAATATTTTTCGAAAAATAATTTTTGAATTTTTTTTTTCATTTTTCACTGTTTGATTGCACAAAATAGTTTAAAAAATATTTTTCTAGATATCACATTTTTTAAAAATTGGAGAAAAATAACTTCCCTTAAAAAAATTAGAAAAATATTTTACGGAAACTAACCTTCCTTAGATTTAAAAATTGACTCTATCCATTGCAGTAACGCTAGTTTGATTCCGTTTCCATTTTATATTTCTGATCAGTATATTTGTTACTTCTACTTCTAATAAATCTTATATCGACATACATTCTCTATTTTTATAGTAAAAAAAAAAAAAAAAGAAAACACAAATTTAAGTTGCATCCAATCCCACTTGACCCCTAGGTATTCTTCTTAGAAAATAACTCACCAATATTAGTTGCCTTTGCACTACAAGGTCATTCAACTTTGTCTACCTTTTTTTTAAAAAAAATAAAGTCAATTTTCTTTTTCTTTTTTCTTTTTTCTTTTTTCTTTTTTCTTTTTTCTTTTTTCTTTTTTCTTTTTTCTTTTTTCTTTTTTCTTTTTTCCCTTTTCCTTTTTCTCTTTTTTTTTTTCTTGGGGGTGGGGGGCTCAAGGGGAGGCGTTAGGGTGATGGAGGGACAGAGGTGTATAAAGCATGTTCAATGAGTTCAATATTTTTAATATGGAACAAAGATATGTATGTAAAAAAATTACTAAATTTTTTAAAGAATATTAATTTTGATCCTATAATTTTAAAAGTACAAATATACAATAAACTTATTTTTAAAATCTTAAAAGTTAAAATTATCTAGTTTAAATTTTGAATCCCTCAGTAGAGGAGGGTCAATTGTCAACCAAAGCTTGAAGAATCAATTTCGACAGCCTAAATCGGACTAATGCACCTAAGTTTCCAAATTCATAATCCTCTTCCTACCTAACGCATGTTTTCTCCATATTCATTACTTCTTTATTAAAGAAATTGTACCCAACTAAAAAATATGAAGTAGGTTAGATATCAATATGTGATGTCTCGTGATGAAAATCGAAGGCTCATAGAAGGAAAGTTTATATGAATTATATCAGTACAAATGTGTATACGGTCGAAATAGATTTTGGCCTTCGCATGTCCGATCGAGTTCGAACGATGATCAATCGAAGTAAGATTCCAAAGATGGAACAAACAAACCTCGAACACGGGGGGCCGATCCACGTCGAGTTCGACATCGTTATCGAGCTCGAATCCAAATCGAACTATGATG